TTCTCTGTTTATGTACATGTGTCCTATATATATATATATATAGGAATACATATGTATAGGAATACATACACACACAATTGGATGTGCCCCTTCCTGGTGTGGGGAGAGGGGAGACAGACCCTACTGTGGAGACAGTCTCAGGAGAAGTCACAGAATGGAACAAGATAGTTGATGGGAGCAAGGTGAGTCGGGAACCCAAGGGTGTAGTGAATACTACCTCTCATCATAGTGAGACACTCCAGGGAGTTGATGGTTTGTTGTGTGTGGTTTCTTTTTTTAAAGATTTTACTTATTTATTTCAGACAGAGAGAGAGTGTGAGCACAAGCAGTGGGGAGGGGCAGAGAGAGAAGCAGCAGGCTCCTGGCTGAGCAGGGAGCCCGATGCGGGGCTTGATCCCAAGACCCTGGGATCATGACCTGAGCCAAAGGCAGATGCTTAACCAACTGAGCCACCTAGGTGCCCCAGGGAGTTGATGGTTAACTGTTAGTGAATGTATTTTGTCTTGCTCCAATATAGAGTGCTCTCAGGAGCTATTATTTTTGAAGGTTTGGAGGCAGTTTCAAAGCTTTTCTGCTCCTCTGTTTAGTAGTGACTTCTTAGGCCCAACCCAAAGAACAGCCAGTCAGATTCTTGTGGGGGTTTAGTTGTGAGTATAATTCCCCTATGAAATTGTTCTGTCTTGGGCCCTGGTCTCACCATGCCTGGTGGAAGAGGACCAGATTCTCGATGGGTTCCGTGTTGGAGGATCTTTTTTTTTAAAGACTTTATTTGTCAGAGAGAGAGAGAACAAGCAGGGGGAGTGGCAGGCGGAGGGAGCGGGAGATGCAGGCTCCCCACTAAGCAGGGAGCCTGATGTGGGACTTGATCCCAGGACCCTGGGATTATGACCTGAGCCAAAGGCAAACTCTTAACTGACTGAGCCACCCAGGCGCCCCTCGTGTTGGAGGATCCACTGCCCTTTTCCAAGTGCTGGGATTAGGAAGATCATAGGAACCGTGAGTTGAAGATATTTTGAAGTTACTACTTCCCAGACCTGTCTCACCTTTTGAGCAAGCCTAGGAGAGAAACAAATGGAAATGAAACATAAAGCTAGTGCAAAGAGCTTGAGCCATGAAGCCAGACGGACTTGGATTTGAATCTTACCTCTGGCAGTTATGGACAGAAGGATGTTTGTTACTTAAGTAGTAGGGCAGCTATCTTGTGCCTATTTGTAGATTAGAGGTATGGATGCCCTACAAGGATGTTGTGAGGAGTAATTGAAATACATACAAGGGACATCCAGATCGTGACCAAAAAAATGTCAGTTTCTATCTTGCAGATCCATCCTACAGATGTTTAATTGGGCATTTGCTCCATACAGTTCTCTGTGCTAGGTATGTGGGAGAGGCAGGATCAAAGAAGAAGAGGACCTATATTTAGCTCTAACATGTACACAAACAACAACAGAAGAACTCTATCCACACCAGTCTCCTTGCTATTTCTGGAACATCGGGCAAGCTCCTGGCTCGGCACTGGGACACTTGCTGTCCCCTCTTCCTAGAATTCTTATCTCCTACCCTTGACCTCTCTCCGATCTTCTATATTATCTTCTCAGCAAGGCTTTCCCTGATCATCCTGCCTAAGATGGAACTCCCTGGGGCCAGTGCTCCCCATCCCACTTCCCTGTTCACTTGTTTTTCCCTCTGATAAATATGTAGTTTATGTGTGTGTGTTTTCTGTCATACCAAGCTCGTCCTACCTCTTCAGTGTAAACACTCTGATTTCTTTACTGCTCTCTTCTCAGTGCCTAGAACATTGCATGATGTAGGTACTTGATAAGTGCTTTTGGAATAGATGAATGATCAGATGACTTAATTTTAGCTGCAGGAAGGGTCACGTGCCAAGGTCCAGTGGCCAGAAGAATAGCAGGTGTGGTAGGGACTGTAGTAGTTTCCTATGGCTGCTGTAACAAATGATCACAAACTCAGTGGCTTAAAACAACACAAATTTATTATCTTTTAGCAGTTCTGTAGGTCAGAAGCCTGAGATGGGTCTCACTGGGCAAAAATGAAGGTCCTTGGCAGGGCTACCTTCCTCTGTAGAGTCTCCCAGGGGGGATTTGTTTCCTTGACTTTGCTGGCTTCTGGAGGCTGCCTGTACCCCCTGGTCTATGGGGTCCCTTCCTCCACCTTCTAAGCCGACAATGAGGTTGGGTCCTCACGTCACATCACTGACCTCTTCTTTTGCCTCCCTCTTCCACCCTGAAAGACCCTTGTGATTCCACTGGGCCCACCTGGGGGGGTTCAGGACACGCTGCTTATTCTCAGGTCAGCTAACTAGCAGCCTTAATCCCACCGGCAACTTAATTCCCCTTTGCTGTGTACCCTAACATATGTATAGGTTCTGGGGACCGGGACATGGACATCTTTGGGGATCTATTATTCTGCCTCCTGTAGAATCTAACAAGTGAGACATTTTGCCTAGAACCTAAGGCTTGAGCTGCCAGGAGTAAAATATAAAACAGGAAGATTTCATCCTAAACAGCCATGATTGTCAAGATTTAATATGTGGGGGAGCTCCTGGATGACTCAGTCACTTGAGCATCTGCCTTCGGCTCAGGTCATGATCCCGGGTCCTGGGATTGAACTCCCTGCTTAGCAGAGAGTCTGCTTCTCCCTCTCCCTCCACCTGCCGCTCCACCTGCTTGTGTTTTCTCTCTCTCTCTGTCAAATAAATAAATAAATAAAATCTCTCTAAAAAAAAAGATTTAACATGTGAGCTTTACCTGGAAGGTGCACTCCAAGTTGCTTTGGAGTGAAGTGGTGGAACAGAGGCTTTAGGAGATGAATATGGACTTAGGGCAGGTATTTAGGACATTCATGTCTACCTTTTGTAAAGCAATTAACTTTCATTTCCCTCTCCTATGTATAGAAAGCTAGGTTCTTGTTTAGAATTTCCCCCCAAAAAAGTAGGGTGCACTTATATTGTCCTTTTAAGAACCACCCTGTGATATTATGTGCACAACCTGTATACGCAGAGACCCGTAAAGCCCTGCTACACACGGGCGCACTCACACAAGTGTACGCGTGTCCTCGTCTGCGCACCCACTGCCTCGCCCTGTTCTTGGCATCTCTTCTCCCCGGCTTTCCGTGGCCCTCTTTTTTTCTCTGCCTTGCCACCCCTGAGTGATCTGTATCTTCCTATCAGGCCTACTCTGGCAGTGGTTCTCACAAGAGTCATTGTATAAACATCCCCTAGGAGGCATGTAAAAATCTCCAGGGAGATCTCTATAGTTTGAAAAAGTCTGCCCTCCCTCACCTTTACCATGATTCCACCATGATTTAATACAGCTTCCTCGGATGGTTCTTCTCCCTGAAACCCACTGAGAATTTAATAAATATTAAACACCTGGTTTTGAATGGTGTCTGATGACAGTTTCTTAGGCTTTGAGTAGCCTCTTGAAAGCAGTCCAGTAGAACTTTCTATGATGATAGAATTGTTCTATATCTGTGCTACCCGATATGGTGGTGACAGCTACACGTGGCTATGGAGCTCTTAAAATGGACACACAGGAAAAATAGAGGACCTGCTTACTAAACCAGAGGACAGCATTTAATAAATGATAACTCACAATCTTTTTTCGAATTGCTTTTTCAGTTGTTGAGTATCCTCTTTTCTTCTTCTTCCTCTTCTTCTTCTTCTTCCTCTTCCTCCTCTCCCTCCCCTCCCCTTCTTCTCCTTCTTCTTCTTCTAATTTTTAATTTTTGTACAAGTCAAAATAAGAGGCACCTGGGTGGCTCAGTCTTTTGGGCGTCTGCCTTAGGCTCAGGTCATGATCCCAAGGTCCTGGGATCGAGTCCCACATCAGGCTCCTTGCTCGGCGGGGAGTCTGCTTCTCCCTCTACCCTTCTCCCCTGCTTGTGATCTCTCTCACTCAAATAAATAAATAAAATCTTTTTTAAAAAAAGTCAAAATAAGTTCACCTGGGTGTAATTGTACTCCTTTTACTCTTTCCTAGACTCATTTTGATTGATAACTACATTTTTGATTCAAAGTACCTGTGGGTCTCCAAACAAATGATTCTTTCTCTTGCCTCTCTTCCCCTTCCTGATATATATCAGCTATATTAAGATATAATCCACATATGATACAAAGCAGTCACAGTATATAAGTATATTCACAGAGCTGTGGAACCTTGAACACAGTGGATTTTATAGCATTTTCATCACCCGGAGAAGAAACTCCATCCTCATTAGCAGTCCTGTCCACTTCTCCCCCACCCTCTTCCCCTCCCTCGCCAATTAGTAATTGACTTTCTGTCTGTATGGATTTGCCTATTCTGAACATTTCGTATCGGTGGAATCATACAGTATGTGGTCCTTTATGACTGGCTTCTTGCACTTAGCATGGTGTTTTTAGGGATCATCCATGTTGTAGTAATTCATTACTTTTCACTGCCAGTAATATTCCGTTGTATGGATATGTCACATTTTATTTATCCATTCATCAGCTGATGGACATTTGGGTTGTTTCCACCTTAGTTGCTAGAATTATGCTGCTGTGAACATTGATGCACAAGTTTTTGGGTGAACATGTGTTTTCCTTTCTCTTGGGTATGTAACTAAGGAGCGGAATTGTTTAGTGATATGGTAACTGTATGTTTAACTTTTTAAGACACTGCCAGACAATTTTCCAAAGTGCCTGCAACATTTCACCTTGCTACCAGTCATACATGAGAGTTTCAGTTTCTCCACATCCTCACCAACACTTGTTATTCTTGTCTTTTTGACATCCTTATAGCCAAGCTGGGGGGTGTGAAGTGATACCTCACTGTGGTTTTGATTTGCATTTCCCTGATGGCTAATGATGTTGAGCATCTTTCCATGTGCTTTATTGGCCATTTGAATATCTTCTCTGGAGAAATGTCTGTTCAGATCCTTTGCCCATTTTTTTTCCTTTGCCCATTTTTTTAATTGAATGATTTGTCTTCCTTTCTGTTGTCTTCATTTGGCCTGAACAGGATGCTGATATGCTCACTGGCGATGAGCAAGTATGGAAGGAAGTTCAAGAATCCTTGAAAAAAATTGAAGAACTGAAGGCACATTGGAGTATCCTTTTACCTGTGGATTGAGCCATACCGTTGGGACTGTTGCTTCTTTATTGGTTTGAGCGTGGCGTTGATAAAGCCAAGTCCATGGTTTGACCTCTGTCTGAGCCAGTGAGTTTCATTCTGTTTCATGGTCAGAGGCTGCATCCCAAATCCCAGCCAACAGTTTGGGTAATGGCTAGGGCAGAGTATGGCAGGATCAGCATGAATACCTCACCACCATTAGATAGTAACCAAAACTCATGACCGGTAATAGGACAGTAAGTAGTAGTCTCTATATGTACTAGGTAACAGATTTCTGTATTCCTTTCCTCCCACAACCTACATCTCTAGGAAGGAATAACTTAGAATCCTAAAAAGTTAATATCATTGACTCTCAGATCTAGAAGTTTCGTATTAAATCAACCATGACTACCATGGCAGAGGGAGTTGCTGCACAGTAAATTTTCTGGGCATAAATAGTAAGGACCAATGAGTGGGTCAAAGTTCAGAGTAAGGAGAGAGCGCTTATGCTGGAGGTCATCTGGGGAGGCCACACTGATGTTGTACTGGGTAAGTGGTAGCCAAAGTCAAGGACAGGGTTTGAATGGACAGAAGCTGAGAGGGAGGTTGCTTCCGGTAGGGGAGTTCACTTGAGCAAAAAATGACAAAGGGAAACCCCAAGGCCAGAAGAAATAGACCAAGGTAGATGAAAAAGATAATGCAAGGTCCTTCAGATGCCTTGGGGAAATTAGATCCCCGACAACAAGAACATCTCCAAATGAAGTTTCTATCTACAATGTTTTTTAAAGAGTGGTACAGAATAGGAGAGATAGATGGACAAATTGCTCTTGTTTTTAAAGGTGAAAGAAGTATCTCCTGAAATCTGAACGGGGTGGGTTGTTTTTTGCTTGTTTGTTGAAGTTTGGTAAAGAATCTGTAACTGATTACTAAAGAAATGGAAAAGGGAGCTGTGATCAGCCTGAGGCTGCGTGAATTCACCAAGAGCAAGTGAGTCTGCAGAGACATGGATTTCTTTGGTAAAGTTTGTATGTGGATTTCAGGGAGAGGCTTAATTAAAAGCAGTCAAGAAATTGATGCTAGATGCTAGCATGGCCAGACAGCTTTCTAAATGCTTGAATGACTCTCCTGAGAAAATGATGCCCCTGGGGTCCCTGTGACTCTGGAGTGCTCTCTTCCCACCTTGGTCCTCTCCTGCCTTTGACTCTGGGCCTTGAATGGAGATACAGAGCACAGGGTCCTCAGATTCCCAAAGGTTATAGGTTGGGGAATGGCAGAGGTTGGGATGACAGAATCCAGAGCTCAGGATCCCCAAAGGCTTGAATGATGCCTGAATCTAAAAAGATGAAATTCAACAAGAATATATATAAAATCTTCTATTTGGGTCAAAGAGTTTAAGTGTGTAAATAGACATCAAGCTTAGCAGCAGAACATGTGGAACAATTTTAGGGTTTTAGTACACAGCAAAATTTAATCAAGTTTAAGAGGATGATATAACCCCTCAAAAAGCTACTGCAATCTCGGGCTACATTAACAGAGACTAGGAAATGAGAAAGGTGATCTGTGAGTCTGATCATATCCAGAGTTTTGGGACCAGTTGGGAGTAGGGCATATTAAGAAGGATCTAGAAAAATTGAAATAAGTTGTGAGGAATGGAGCCAGGATCCAAATGGAGTTTGCAACCCTGTCTGTAGGCAGGATGGGAGATACTGGGAAAACAGTCAGATCTGGGAAGAAGAAGGGGCCCTTCTTGGGCTCAAAAAACTGTTCTTACTGCAGAGAAGTAGGATTGTTCTCTCTGCTCCCCAGCCATGGAATTGGGGCCCTGGATGATCCAGCCACAGTCGGGTCTCAGCGGGACAAGGCTTCACGGAAAAAGGACTCTGTGCCAAATGATCTGCCAGTTGCAGCCCACTTTCTGGTGCATACAACCCTGCCCTCACAACTCTCACACCTGCTTTGGTACATACATACTTGAGGGGCATCAGAGGCACAGTGGTCAACTCTGGGAGGTAAAAGAAGGTTCCACAGAGGAGGTTATCATTCTATCTGCTTTGGGGAGGCTCTCCACCCCTTTTCCAGCTAGAGCTCAGCTCCTCCCTGGAACAGAATGACGTGTATGCAACACCAAAAAATACCAGGGACTATATTTTTGAGCAAATACAATGTCAGCATCCACTTGGGGGAAAAAGCCTCTTAGTTAAAATTATTCAATATTTTTGCTCACTGGGGTGTTTTATAGGAGAGGGTTGCCTTGTTTGCCAGCAGACAGTTGCCAGGGTTGCAAAGGAAAATTGGCATGTGGTCCCTTCCAGCTTGCGGGGGATAAAGTAGATGTATTCCTATCAGTGGCTGCAGAATATCACATCTGGTTTTTATTTCTAAGGCTTGTCACTTAAAACCTCTTTCAAATGAGTTGGAGCATATATAAATGAGTGGGCGAATAGTCATGGAGGTCAAACAACACAACGTTAAAATAAGGCGCAAAGTCTTGCCACAGAAATGTCTAGCGTTGTGTAAGAGACAGTCATTCCTCCTGACAGTTCGTCAAATACCTAATCCTGGAATGAAAAGCCACAGAGGTTAGCCCAGCAATCTGTTGCAAAATCAGTGCGTTGCCTGAGATACTGTTCCCCCCAACCTCTGGGGATCCATTCAGCACACTTTATCCATACACGTCAGATGAATACAAAAGAAGTCACTGACTCACTTTTCTTCAATAAATGCACCTCACCCGAGACCAGAGTCAACTCCTCAGAGACAGGACTCATCCTAAAATTACAGTGTAGTATACAAGAAGTGTGAAATAAAGGCCTTCGGCTGTGCGTTGTGGTGCTTGCGAATCTCACCAAGGAAGTCGTGCCTTGGGGGTAGGGTGCTATGCCTCCAGGGGGCCCCCACTGAAAAGAAACACGCATTTCCCATGAGGGTTCATAAAGACGTTAGTCCCCACTCCCACAGGCGGCTTGACTGGATTATTACAAGTGTTTGCTAACGTTCTGGAAGGCAGCACCATCGGGTGGCAGGGAGGTTAGGAGGGGTGGATGTTGCGGGGGTGGGGGGCAGGATAAAGGGGCGCTGGAGCCTGCCCTCAGTTCAGGGCGGGACAGAAGAGACTGGGCTGTGTGGTGGTGGCAAGGGGTGTGGGTAGATGGGGGTTCAGTCCACTGGACCGTTTTCCCTATGCCTAGTCGCCGTCAGAGGTCACGTGGCTTTAAGCGCTCCGGCGACATCCTCAGAGCCTCAGATCTGACCAGTGACAGAAGTAGCTCAGATTGAAATCCAGCTTTAGCTCCAGCCAAAAGCTCTGCCATTTCTGCTGCATCTGAAATCTGCAACCCCTTTCGCTCGAGTGGAGTACGGCTCCTGAAAGCAGGAGGATGTGGAGCTGTGCAGGTTGAAGGGGGTGGGGGGGGCCTGTACCTCCCCAGCACCTAACACCCCAGCAGCAGCGCAAGAAGAGAAGTGTGTGTGTCCCAGGAGCCCGCACTCTGGCCTGCAGCTGTGCTTCCATGGTGTTCAGAGGGCGGGAGGGGGGGAGGCATTCAGGGCACACTCCACGCTCCCTACGGCACATCCTCAGGCCTCTGGCTGCCTCCCAAAGAGGACAGGGAATACTAGCAGTTTTAAAAAAGGGTGATCACGGGACGCCTGCGTGGCTTGGTTGGTGAAGCATCTGCCTTCAGCTCAGGTCATGATCTCAGGGTTCTGGGATCGAGTCCCGTTTGAGAGCATGTGCTCTCTCTCAAGTAAATAAATGAAATCTTTTTAAAAAAATAAAAATAAAAAAGGGCAATCACACCAAGGCTCCACAAGAGGAAGTTATGGACTCACAGTGACTCAGAGTTGCTCATAAGGGGGCATTGGGTCTTCTCTCTGTCCTTCTTAATTTTTTTTTTTTTTTTTAGAGATTTATTTGAGAGAGAGAGAGCAGGGGGATGGGGCAGAGGGAGAAAGAGAATCTCCAGCAGACTCCATGCTGAGCGCAGAGCCCGGAGCCTGTCAAGGGGCTCGATCTCACGACCCTGAGGTCATGACCTGAGCCCAAGTCCAGACTCAGACACTTAACCAGCCCTGCCACCCAGGCACCCCTCTCTGCCCTTTTTAAACCTGCAGTTTATGTGCATGAGCCCTGTTCTTAATACTATCTTTCACTGGGCGCCTGGGTGGCTCAGATGGTTAAGCGTCTGCCTTCGGCTCAGGTCATGATCCCAGGGTCCTGGGATCGAGTCCCGTATCGGGCTCTCTGCTCCTTGGGAGCCTGCTTCTCCCTCTGCCTCTGTCTCTCATGAATAAATAAATAAAAATCTTTAAAAAAAAAAAACTATCTTTTACTTTGGAGGTTCAAAATAAGAATATCTTTTTTTTTTTGGTTAAGTATAGGCTTGGATCCCTTTTGTTTTATAATAAAAAAACTTCAATATGAGACCCAGTGGAGATGTATTTCTTCGAGTTGCTTCCTTCGTTCGTGCCTGTGGGTTGTGTACTTGGCTTCCTGTGTGCCCGAGGTTCGGATGACACAGAGGCAAAAATGAGCTGCTCCTTTTTAAAATGGAATCCGTCTAAAGTTTCTTCCATTTTAGATCCGTTTTGTAACAGAAGCTAACACAGTACATAATTTAAACTGAACTAACCGAATCGGTAGTTCAGCTTAATACACAGCTGCATTATTTCATGGCTGGCTTTAAAAAGAATCCATATAGGAGTACGAAGAAAGAAGGGTTCTTTGGAAATCCTGATCCCCCAAAGTACAGGCTTGGTTGGAAGATGATTTGTTGATGTAAACAGAATTTGCTTCTCTGAGATGCCACTTAACCGTTTTTGTTTCTCAAGTATGTTTTCAGGCAGCTCATCTGTGTAAAATAATGGGCTCTTTCTTCCCTCCTGTGCCTGGGAGCTCTTCAGCCTTGTAGAGAATCTCATTTTACTTGTTTTCTTGGTGAAGACAATGAATCCTTAACTAAGGTTAATAACAGAGTGGGAACAGGTGCTGGCCATGTGCCAGACGATCATCAGCAGCAACGCCGAACGCCTTCCCGACATCAACATCTACCAGCTGAAGGTGCTCGACTGTGCTATGGATGCGTGCATCAACCTTGGTCTGCTGGAGGAGGCCTTGTTCTATGGGATCCGGACCATGGAGCCGTACAGGTGAGTCATCGGGAGAGGGCCAGAATCGAGGCTGCAGTGTCTTCTCTGAGCCGGAAGACTGACATCCTGAAGTCACTTGGATGGCCACTTTTTTATTGCGCGTCCCCATTTTGTTCGTTGCTCCTGAGGCTTGTGTCGCGTGTCAGGCTCTGTGGGGGTGTGGAGACTGATGAAATGCTGTCTCTGTGGAGTCGGGGATTCCAGTGTTGTGTGCTGCTTGCGGCAACGAGGCAGAGTGCGGGGGGTGGGCAGCCGCGGGGGCCCAGGGCTCGGCCCCAGCTTGGCCGGGGGGCTGTGTCATTTGCCTTTGGGGCCCTCGGTCTGGCTGACTCATCGATGGTGGTCTCTAATGTTTGTCAGGGCTTTATGGTTCCCGGGGTGCTTCACTGGAATCAAGGGACCCCATAACCGCCTTCTGACCCACTCAGGAGAGCGGGGAGACCTTGGTGCTCAAACGTGTCAGGGAGTCAGGTGAAGGAGCAGTTGCTACTTAATTGTTTCTTGACTGTCCGCAGCTCCTTCAGACCAGGGGTGTGTTGTCCCCTGATGCCTTTGTAACTCACAGGAGCTTTGGCAGCGCTGAAGTCTGGTGCTGGTGGTTGCGGGACCCTGTTTGCAGAGGGTCGAGAACGTGAGTTTGGAAGTCGAGGCAGATCAGTCCGGAGGGAAGGGCACGGCGTCATTCATACTGTCAGCTGAGGTGGGAGCAACCATCTCGAGCACAGGACAAGGTCCCTCACAGCTGGGAAGGCGCCCTGAAGCCTGGGGGGCAGGGGGCGGGGGAGGTCCCTGAGAGCGGGGGCACCATTCTGGGTGGCACTGAAGGCCAGGCAAACACGATGTCTGCCCTGAGGGGCCAAGCAGAGGGACAGCCCAGCTCCCAGCCTCCCCCGCGGGGGGCAACAGGTAGGGGAGGGGCTCTAAGTGAAGGAGGGTGGGCAGCAAGGGTGCACAGACCAGCCACGGCCCCGTGCCCCGAGGGTGTTTTTTTTTTTTTATAAAGATTTTATTTCTTTGACAGAGACACAGCAAGAGAGGGAACACAAGCAGGGCAGTGGGAGAGGGAGAAGCAGGCTTCCCGCTGAGCAGGGAGTCTGATGCGGGGCTTGATCCCAGGACCCTGGGATCATGACCTGAGCCGAAGGCAGATGCTTAATGACTGAGCCACCCAGGTGCCCCCCGAGGGTGTTTTCAGAGCTTCCGAAGGTGGCTCCTTCCCCTGCTTGCGGTCGAACAGCTCTGGAATCCAGACTGTGAGTCAGCTCGCATCAAACTTGCAGGCGATTGCCTTCAGGGCTGAGATGGTAGACTTTCCCATGAGCGTCAAATGTCTGCTCGGGATGATGAATCTTGTGGGTTTTCAGAAAATATGAACAGAGCACAAAGAGATAAGGCTTCGTTCTCTGAGCCTAGGTGTTGCAATAAGAGGCAGGTTGGGATGGCTGGTGTCGCCTCTCTGAACCCCAGGGCTGGGTCTCGGGAAGCCAAACCATGGGCTGAGCGGATGGACTGTAGCCGGGAGACGCAGGCCAGGCAGACCCTCCTTCCTGCAGGCACCCCCGCAGCCCCTCGCCCCACACTCTGGCTAGCGCTGGACCTGCACCCGCTCTGGCTGCCCCAGCCCCCATCCCCGCCCCTAGGCTGCCCTCTGGGCTGCTCTGACCACAGACACTTGACACTGGTCCCCCACCTCGACGGTGCTGCTTCTGCACACAATTTTGAATCCTCTCCCCACACCTATCATGGCTTATCTGAAGGACTAATTTACCCCTTAATTAACTGACTTGAGTCAAACAGAGAGGCCTTTCTCGTGAGGCCACGTCCACCGGAATGGACTCCATGTTGTTTGGAATACATCTGGTTATATTTTCCTGGTGTTTGGCAGATCACACTCTGTGCTTACGCCGGGTGACAGATTTCCTAGCCTCCCTCAGTTTCTCTTCCCCGGAGCTTGTTAAGAAGTAGCTGTGCAGTGGTCTATATTTCCAGAAATCCCATCTTCATTGATCGATCCACTTTGAACCAGTGGGTTCTGACCGGTTTGCTTGCAGCAGTATTTATTGTAGGGGAAGTAACCCAGCACCAATGGGGCAGTGAGGGGGATGCTGGCGTACTTGGCTTTTCTTCCCGTTAGCTCAGCAAAAGTGAAAACAAGGAACAAATGGGTGAGATGCTCTGCAAGCCCTTTAACAATCCGGAGGCAGGAATCCGAGAGTTGGTGGCGGTTTCCGTCCCCCACATGTGTGTGAGCCTCTGGGCCGCCAGCCACCGATTCGGTCTCCCCGCAGATGCGCAAGGTGGGCCCTCGGGTCCCCTTTAGCCAAGGACGTGGGCAGTTAGTTTGGCATGAGTTACTGAGAGGCGACGGGACTGTCACCTGCTCTAACAGTTTTACAGTGTTAATATACTGTTTGCAACAGCTAGACTGAGGTCAGGACTCTGGGGATGATGTTCTCCCTCTGGACCTGGGCTAAATTTTAACTACTGACTTTAACGGAGAAGGTGTCCACATTCTGGTTTTATCCAAATCACCGCATTGCTCTCGGCTCCCTTCTTGCTGCTGTCATTTATTTTGACTTGATAGAAGGAAGTTCTTTTATGACGCAACACAGTATTAAGATCTTTGTTTCATGGGGCGCCTGGGTGGCTCAGTCAGTGAAGCGTCTGCCTTCAGCTCAGGTCATGGTGCCGGGGTCCTGGGATTGAGTCCCGCATCGGGCTCCCTGCTCAATGGGAAGTCTGCTTCTCCCTCTGCCTGCCGTTCTCACCCTGCTCGTGCTCGCTCGCTCTCTTTTTCTTTCTCTCTCTCAAATAAATAAATTAAATCTTCAAAAAAAAAATCTTTGTTTCATGAAGTAGGTTGGCATTAATTCACACACAACAGAATTTATCATCTTTAGCTCATACTGTTTCTTCTGAGAGCATCTGTGATTATATATGCATGGTCATCTGTCCTGTAGCACTATGAACATTAAGCAGAAAGAAAGCAGTTTAAACGTATTTCATAAATTTTCATTTAAAAATGTAATTAAATAATCTTAACCACAAGATGAATTGAGTTGCAAAAGTTCGCTTGCCAGTGGTAATGTAGAGCTTGGGAAGCCTTTTCCTGCTGAAGAAGGCATTAAGGGTTATGGTGGTGTCACCAGACCAGCCCTTGAAACTCTGGATCCTAATATCACTGGTGTCTGCTACACATTTGTGTAAAAATAAAAAGAAGGAAATATAAAAACAAAACAGAGTATAGTTTTAAACTTAAAATTTAAATTATGTTGAATATAAAATCAAACTTGATTTTCTTTAGGACCCAGAGAAAGATCTAGAGATACAGAGGCTTGTTAAGGCTTTGAGGAGGACTTTTGGTGTATCCACATGTGTTCTGGTAACTTAACTTTTGGTTTAAGAATAGCATAGACTTCTAGGAAAGCACTTTCCTAAAGAACACAAATAAAAATTACCCTCATCTTTCAAACTCCTGTTCCACTCCCTAAAGATAACCATGGTTAAATTTCTTTCCTAAAGTTTTCAGTGTGTGGTGTGGAGTTTTCAGTGTGTTCATTTATAACACACTCGCCTAATTTTTTCAAGCCCCGGTTCTTCTCCTCTCTTTTCCCCAGTGGTTCTCACATGCTCAGAGACTTTTGTTTTCCCTCTGTCTCACTTCTCCTCAAAACTGCTCACTCGGGCTCTTCCCTTTTTCTCCTTCTCCTGTCTGTCTCTCCTCGTCTCATCTTTCTTGTGGAGAGACTCAGTTCCAGTCTGCATCTGCTAGATGTGTCTAATGAGGTGGTGGGTGAGGAAGGGAGAAGGGAAAGAAAAGCCAAGAAGTCTACTGAGTGGGCAGAGAGAAGAAAATCCCCTGTTCTGGAACTGGCTGTTTTCACTTTACTACAAAGCGTGGACATCAGTCCAGATCAGCTCCTGAATATCCACCTTCCTTTTTAATAGGTCTATAGAATTTCATCTTAGGAATGTACTATAATTTGTAAACTAGCCCCTACTATTTCCATTTCCGTTTACTGTATCAAGAAATACTGCCATTAACATCCACATAGTTGAATCTTTGTGTACTGATGGGACCAACTCTATAGGGCAAATCCATGTGATAAATTCCTAAATGCTAACTCACTGATCAAAATGTACGTTCATTTTAACTGGAGATAGCAACCCCCAAATTGTGTCCACCATCCACCAAGCTGTCACTTTCCTCAAAAGCACTGAGAACGGGTGACATGATGTTGATTATATCTGATCTGAATTCATCTCAAAATATATAGGGGTCTTCCCCTTTTCCTTGACCAAAGCCTGCTCTTACAGGATGAGATTTGCTGGTATTGACCGACAACATAGTATTTTGTGGTGGCGGAAAGGACATTTTTGTGAGTGTCCTGGGAAGAGCAGAACATGAACCGCGAAGGGACTCAAACAAGTGGGTGTGGGATCAGACTGGGGAGCAGTGTGACTCCCGCTCGTGGATTGAAAAGCATGATCTCCGCTCATGTGGAGTCCGGTGCCTTGCTGGCCGCCATGATGGCAGAGCGGGAGTGGAAGGCTCTGGGAGTCTGTGCGTGTGACCTGTTTCCCAGCCAGGTGTTTGGGACTCTGAGATCGTCAGGGGTCACACAGCAGCCCTGCCGTTTTCATTTTGCCAGTGATTCTTGAACGTTCCCCCCCCCCAAGGCTTTCGCAGATAGGTTGATAAAATGCAAGTACCCGCCACTGCTGTTTTCAAGCCGACTTCTCTTCTGAAGACCTGCAGTTGCTCTTCTGTGTGTTTTTGTCATCGATCGATATGACGTGGTGGTCCAGGACCCAGTGGGGCGTGCAGGTACCGTGCGGACGCAGCAGAGCGCTGGGCACGGTCACTCACTGGGCACTTACCTGGGCCTGCTTGTGCCTGACCCACATCTCTGTGCCCCACAGATGTGGTTAGGTTGCCCTGTGATGATGCTTATGTCCGTGTACCCATCACTGAAGCTCACGCCTAGATGGCAGGGTCCTTGG